CTTTAATGATTAAGGTAATATGTAAAAAATTATATTGTATAAACCGCATGTATCGTAATAAGAAATGTATAAGAAAATAAATTTTCCAGTTGCTGAAGAAGTCCCAATAAAGGGACGAAACGTCCAACTTAATTAAATTAAGTTCTACTTCTTTTCATGTACAAGTTCCCTATGAACCTATATCATCCAAAAATTATAATTTTGGGCGGGAGAAAATACTGAATTATTAGAAATTTTAATAGACAGTGCAAAATGTGCTATTAGACACTTAACAGATTGGAACTCGGGTTAACAACGATCGATTTTCGTCTAAACAGAATTGAATTCTACAAGTAAAGTAAACAAAAATAGTGAAAATTAAACGGTTGTTTCTCTTTCTAGGACTGCTGTGGTCGGTCCATCCTAGATATCACCTCATTTTTTTTAGTCCTAAAATATATATTCGTAACTATGTGCTTTAAAGCTTAAACGCTAACGTTTTAATACTTCAGGTAATAAACACATCTGTAGAGCCTTATAGTTTCAAACTACGTAGAGATCCGGAAAGCAGCAAAAATTTCTTTTATATATATTCAAAAATTTTATTAAACAGTGAAAAATGTGCTATTAGACACAAATTAAATTTGATTTCAGGCTAACAACGATTGATTTTCGACAAAAAATAATTGAATACTACACGTAAAATAACAAAAATAGTAGAAATAGAACGATTTTTCCTCTTTCTAGGACAGCTGTGGTCGGTCCATCAATGATATTAACTCATTTTCTCGGTCTTATGATTTATATTCGGAACTATTTGCTTTAAAGTTTGAGCCTTAACGATTTAAGACCTCTGGTAATTAGCACTTCTTTAGAAATCTTATAGTTTCCTACTACCGACGCGTCTGAAAGCAGCAAAAAATTTTTCTAAATATATTTAGAATTTTTAATAGACATTAAAAAATGTGCTATTTGAAACTAAACAGATTTGATCTCAAGTTAGCAACGATCTAATTTTGACAAAAAAAAATTAAATTCTACACGTAAAATATCAAATTTAGCAGAAATAGAACGATTTTTCCTCTTTTTAAGACTGCTGTTTTCGGTTTATCAATGATATTAACTAATTTTTTTTGGTCTTTTAATTTATATTTGTAAATATTTGTTTTAAAGTTTGTGCGCTAGCGCTTTAAAACTTCTGTTTATTAGCACTTTTTTAGAAATCTTATAGTTTTCTACTATCAAAAGGTCCATAAAGCAGCGAAAATCTCATTTAAATATTATTAGAAATTTTCATAGACAGTGCGAAATATGCTATTAGACACCCAACAGATTAAAACTCTGGTTACACACGATCGATTTTTGTCAAAGAAAAACAAAATTTAGCAAGTAAAGTATAAAAAAATAGTAGAAATTAGACACCTGTTCCTCTTTCTAGAACTGCTGTCGTCGGTCCATCAATGATATCGACTAATTTTTTTTCCGCCTTTTAATTTATATTTTTAACTATTTGCTTTAAAGTTTAAGCGCTAACGCTTTAAGACTTCTGTTAATTGGCACTTCTTTAGAAATCCTTTAGTTTTTAACTACCGACAGGTCCGGTAAGAAGCGAAAATTTCTTTTGGATATTATTAGACATTTTCATAGACAGTGCTAAATGTGCTATTGGACACTTAACAGATAAGAACACGAGTTAACAACGATCGATTTTTGTCGAAAAGCATATAAATTTAACAAGTAAAGTATACAAAAATAGTGGAAATTAAACAATTGTTCCTCTTTCTACGACTGCTGTGGTCGGTCCATCTGTGATATTATCTTATTTTTTTGGTCTTAAAATTTATATTTGTCTCTATTTGCTGTAAAGCTTGAACGCTAACGTTCCAAAACTTATGTTAATTAGCACTTCTTTAGAAATCTTATAGCTTTCAACTACGTACAGGTCCGGAAAGCTGCGATAAATTCTTTTAAATATATTAAGAAATATTCGTGGACAGATAAAAATTTGCTATTTGAAACTTAACACATTTAATATTGGGTTAGCATGAATCAAATTCCGTCAAAATAGAATTAATTTCTACACGTTGAGTAAACAAAAATAGTGGAAATAGATCGATTTTTCTTCCTTCTTGGACTACTTTAGTCGGACTATCAATGATATCAACTTATTTTTTTTTGATTTGCAAAATGTATTTAAAAATTTTTGCTTTAAGTTTAAACGCTTGCGTTTCAAAACTTTTAGTAATTAGTACTTCTTTTGAAATTTCATAGTTTGCCACAACGTACAGGTCTGGAAAGCAGCAAAAAATTATTTTAAATATATATTTAGAAATATTCATAGACGGTGAAAAATGTGATATTGGACAATAAACAGATTTGATTTTGGGTTAGCAACGATCAAATTTTGTTAAAAAAGAATTAAATTCCACACGTTAAGTAAACAATAATAGTGGAAACAGAACGATAGCTCCTCCTATCTTTTAAGCAAATAGTTATGAATATTTATTTTAAGGCGGAAAAAAAAGTTGATATCATTGATGGACCGAAAACAGCAGTCCTAGAAAGTGGAAAAATCGAAATATTTCTACTATTTTTGTTATTTTACGTGTAGAATTCAATTTTTTTTTACCGAAATTGGATCGTTGCTAACCAGAGATCAAATCTGTGTAGTTTCAAACAGAAAATTTTCCGCTGTTTTTTTAAATTTTTATAAATATTTAAAATAATTTTTGGCTGCTTTACGGACCTGTACGTAGTTGAAATCAAGACGATTTCTACAAAAGTGCTTATTAACAGAAGTCTTAAAGCGTTAGCGCTCAAACTTTAAAGCAAATAGTTACGAATATAAATCATAGGACCGAAACAAATTAGTTGATATCGTTGATGGACCGAAAACAGCAGTCCTAGAACTGTAAACAATCGTATAATTTCTACTATTTTTGTTTACTTAACGTGTAGAATTCAATTTTTTTTAGTCAAAATTTAATCGTTTCGAATCTGAGATCAAATCTGTTTAGTTTCAAATAGCACATTTTTAACTGTCTATTGAAAGTTCTAAATATATTGAAAAAAATTTTTTGCTGCCTTCCGGACCTGTCGGTATTTGGAAACTATAAGTTTTCTAAAGAATATACTAGTAACCAGAGGTCTGAAAGTGTTAGCGCTCAAACTGTAAAGCAAATAGTTACGAATATAAACTATAGGGTGGAAAAAAAATAGTTCATATCATTGATTGACCGACAACAGCAGTTATTGAAAGAGGAACAATTGTTTAATTTCCGCTATCTTTGTTTACTTTACTTGTAAGAGTTAATTCTTTTTCGACGAAAATCGATGGTTGTTAACTCAGGTTCCAATTCGTTAATTTTCTAATAGCACATTTTTTACAGTATATGAAAATTTTTAATTATATTTAAAAGAATATTTCGCAGCTTTCCGTACCTGTACGTAGTAAGAAACTATAAGATTTTTAAAGAAGTGCTAATAAACAAAAGTTTTAAAACGTTAGCGTTTAAGCTTTAAAGCACATAGCTACGAATATATATTTTTAGACTGAAAAAAATGAATGGATATCATTGAGGGACTGACCACAGCAGTCCTAGAAAGAGGATAAACCGTTTAATTTTCGCTATTTTTGTATACTTTACTTGTAAAATTAAATTCTTTATCGACGAAAATCAGTCATTGGTAACTCGAGTTCCAATCTGTTAATTGTCTAA